AAAAAAGTAAACAAACGTAACCTAATGTCTCATCAAAGATGGCACACACCTGCAAATAGGAAAGCCCTCACTTCCATGTGTAATAACCACTGCGCTTGCTGCATGACAGCCACTAGAGGGCTCTGCTGCTCCGACGGCAGATAACAGGGCAGCTGAGGCCAAGCCTGCTGCAACGGTAACACAGATATTGCAGAGAGACGCCTGCTCATTCATTATTCATAAGGGAGTGCCTCCAGCCGGTTTCCCTGGCAACGAAGACTGTTAAATCTGCTTTGAGACCAGGGGGAGATTCCCGCTGTCCTTCCGACACTCGGTGCCGACTACATATTTGCCTTTAATGCCTCGCGTATAAAGTTGCACTGGGTTAGCTTTTCACACCAGCCATTTAGAAGCTGACGCCACACGCGTGGACTGCAGGGACTGAAAAGATTTTAGAGCAGTCATTTTGGTATGAGATGGTGGGGAAAGAGGCGGTACTAATCACAAACAACTGAGGCTCAATAACCTTTGCAATGTCCGCCTAACATTTCATATTAAAGTGGCTGCTGCGTAATTGGTCTGTGCTGTCCGTGTACAGCTGAAGAACTCACGAATGATTTGAACTTTAAGAAATGAATAAGAGCATTTGCTGTATCACAGTGTGTCCTCACGATGTGCGACGTCTCGGCGAACTGGAGCCATACTGGATCTGCTCCACTTTGGCTCTAATCATGCATGAACTGAACTGCCCTACAATACAATACATCTGCTGATGTTACCACTCATTGTCCTACTTTCCAGTTTGCATTGTATGTAATTAATTGCAAGGGGATGTCAACAGGTACTTTCTGTTTAATTGAAAGGAAAACAGGAAGGAAGGAAAGAGACACGAGCGAGATGGATCAAACAACCTTTAACTGTCGTCGTGGACGAAGTAAATGTTTCATGTAAACAGCTCGTGCAGCACCGCTGTCGCTTAGCTTTACTTCAATCTAAGAAACATAACCATTCGGGCTTAGTTGCTGATTTTCTGGACCAGTCAATAATGATGC